CCCGTCTCCCCTCTTCTTACGCATTCATTTTGTTACTGCTCCAGTTTTCCTGGTATCTAAAAGCAAATTCTGTCCAAAGACAAGCAATCGACAAGAGACTGGCCCTGGAACTATTGGTGACCATCATTCGATCAACTGCTACCGCACTTTTCAAAGTTAGGTCAAAACCTCACATCTGGCTAGAAACCTGTCCCCAAGGGTAGTTTTGCTCCCTGAACACGAATATGGCACCCATTTGGCGTTTGAGTGTTTTCTAGACTTAAAAGAGACATTCCCCACAAAATGCAAAACAAGTCCCCTTCCAGAAATCCGAACCCTTCATACTATACCCGTGAAGCAAGACCATTACCACTACACCATGCCACCGTTGAAGGTAACGATGCTTCCCGGCTATTCATGCGAATTGGCCGGCGACCGCGCTCGACTCTGTTTCCTTCGTTTTAATTCTAACAAACCTTCATAATTCCGTTCAGAGAATCGTTCTGCAAATTTCGAAGGCAGATTCGAGATCAGCGTCCAAAACCACGTCTAGTGAGCTACATCTCATTACAAATGGCCACTTCGACCTGACGACCTTCCCTAGTCAGAAGTAATTTCGGACGAGTTTCCCGTTGGCGTTGCCAATAACCGCTACGGTAGATACGGCTGCACGTATGTACTCATATATCCATGCAGCACCGCGGCCGCTTCATATCAATCCCTTCGCTTCATATTTACTTCGCAAATGAAGCAATACGAGCATCAGGTACGGTCGTCCATTTGTGGGCGGGCGGGCGCAGTGGGCGTCCGGTCGGTATGTTGCAGCTTGATAGGGCCTTATAAGGGTACCTTCCTTGGAAAAGGCGCTACGCAGCGCCTGCTCAGGGTCGCCAAATTCGTCCTGCCAGGCGTTTAATCCTACTCGTCTTAGGGATTAATCGTGCCAACTGCCTTTGAACAGCACGAGCTGCGGCACAATAGACTAATTGTAAGCCCTATTAATATTGTCGTACGCAAGTCGCCTCTGAAATACGGCCTCCTCTCGAATGTAGTGTCCCCCCTTTCCACCGTTATTCCACTATAACTGCATTGTAAGTATGACCTGAAGAAGCTTTGTCAAAAGGCCTTTGATGTGCCAGAAAGCAACTACATCACCTGTGTCATCTGTGCTTCCGTTGATAATCGTGCTCCTCGAGTGGGCGCTCGTAACCATTCGTCCCTGCACCGTGCCATAGTTGCGCAATGGTTCTCTGTTCTTGGGGACACGATGAACCGCATAGAATTCGTTCACTCCGGAGGGGAGGAGGGGAAACTCCGAGCATCGCTCTTTCGATTGTGCATTGAGTGATGCTGACCACGTGTCCGTTCTGTTTTCGTACAGACTAGGTCTTTGGGGGGGGTGAATTAGGGTAGGAAGGACCGACTCAGAGCAAGGCGTTCTTCGTCTTCTTAGCTACTCCATCGATGTTCTTGAGTGCTCCCCCTGAAGCGCACCAAGTCACCACATCCAAGTGTAAATTTCGTGATGGAACTTTGATCATTCATTCACTTCAGCGTCCAAAGTCGTCCTAACCCACCCATACCACCTGCATGTTACTCATGACATCCGCATTGCGGTGAAATTCATGAAGACGGCGTTGCAAGCGAGTCGCGTGAGCGGCATTTGCACCAGGACCTTGTACTAAAGAGTTGCAGCATGGCGAGCCAGTTATCCAGGAAACAATCGGTTACTTTCCGCGCGTCGTATAGACCAGTGTCTAACCCCGTTTGACGGTTGGCTAGGTCATCTGACTTACCCTATTTTTCCTCTTCATTAGAAGTCGTTTTTCATCAAGAACGTGTTGTGCTTTTTCTTCGCGGAGTTTCATTTCCTCGTCTTGGGACAGGCCGTCGTGCTAAAGTGAATGGTCTCTTATAGGGAGACTGAGACTCACCGGACAATAAGTAACTCACGATTCCAATCTTCCTGCTGACAACGTAACTCCTAATGCGCTTGTTGACTCCCGTAGGACGTGAGTACTTGAGAAAATGCATGAGTCTTTCCTGAGGTGAAAGCGACAACTCCAACATCAGAATGACCTGTGCCCACTGGAACAAGCCGATAAATCATAGCGGAAGAAAAACATCTCTGAACCCTTGAATAAAACCCTCCCCCTCACCTGCCTATTCCACTCCTTCTTAGTCTCGAAAATTGTCTCATATGTGCGTGTCATCATAGCAATCAACAGATTGAACTGCAGGATGGAGACGAAAATCTCGAAGATGAGGAAGATAATCTGAAAGGGAGAAAAATAGCAGGGACCAGGATGGGGAATTTATGTGTTGCCAGTTGAGGGAGTTTTGTTTTGCATCCCCGGGGACACAATGTTACATACGGATTCCCGTTCTCAAATAAATCGCCCAGATAGGGGGTACTGCATGTCCAAACTAGCAGTTTAAGGTTGGTGGAATGGGTGTCAACTTTGATTCTAGATTCTTCTGAATTAGCTGTTGCTTCGAAGTCGGGAAGAGGGTTACTAATATTTGTTTTAGTTTCTATTTGTTTAGGGGTCTATATTTCCCCCCTCCCCCCCACTGGGCTCGCTTCAGGTTCTCGCAGCGCTTCCGCAGTCTTGAAGTAAAGCGAGTGAATCATCTCCCAGCTTCAATTTCCCAATGATCAATGCTTTTGTGGGCACAGGTCACGCCAAAGATGTGGGTGGGACTTCCCAATAATGCTCTGCTTTGGATGCTTGCTTCAAAGACAATGCCGGCAGTTGCATATAGTGATAGTGACGTTCAGTTACAAGACCTCTAGTCTCTAAACTACTCTCCAGGGGATAAAGAAGCAAAAAGGATCATAGAGAACACCCTAAGTAAGGACGCCTTGCACGAGTTTTCTGGAGCTGCTCATTCTATGCTAGCAAAATATACAGGGGAGGCAATGAAAAAACATTATGGCCGAGTCATATCAATAAAGTTTACGCAGCCCAGACAGAAGACGTGGATACGAGTACCAGGGCGGAAGATACCCAAGATGTTCCTCGATAAGCAGGAGCAGGCTCTCGTCCATCACCTTCATGTACACCAAAATATGAAGTCATCTCCAATCGCAGCCTGACTGGAGAAGGCCTATGGAATTCATGTCACCTCCAAACAGCTGCGAAACTTCTTGTATGGAGTCACCCATGGACAGCTACCTGGAGACCAGCACTCTTGATCTGGAAGACCTCCAACATCGAGCAGCTCCGACAACGTCGCTACGGTCCAGGATATCATCTTCACCGCAGTCGCCAAGGCGCGGGTTGATGGTATGGACCGGAAGTTCCTGGAATGGGAAGACCGATATTTTCTTCGTGGACCCCGGACTGAAAGTGAACGCTGACGGTTACATCGACCAACTCGAGGAGAATATCCTGCCTTCATGTCGTCGCCTGTACCATCTTGGAAACTTCGTACTGCTACAGGATTGGGTGCCAGCACATGGAATCGAAGGGCGTTGGAAAAACTCTCGCCTACTTGGAATCGAAGGGGTTGAGAACCTGAAGAAGATGGAGTATCCAACCTGCGTCACCTGCCCTGAACCCTCGGACAGAGCTTAACAGGGTGGTCTGGCGGAGAAATCAACGATCTCGCTGAACTCAGGCACCGAATCACGGTCGCGTGGCAGAATCTCTCGATGGCGCTCGTCCAGAAGGCTGTGGCGGAGTATCATGATAGTGTACAATGTGCTGTTGAATATGATGGTGGAAATGTCCAATCAGAATTTAATAAAGTGTAACTTATATCGCCTTGAAGTCGAGGAAGAAAAGTGTTTTTTTTTTGCCCCCCCCCCCCAGTGAACTGCTGCCTCCGGCTCGTATATTCGCTTCATATAATGCTAATACCACCTACAGGAGAAAAAAAAACAAAAAATATAGATTCCAACTCCTCCTCATCTTGAAACTTCGGCATTGTCGACGATTTGTTCTTCTGTTTTGCCAACGAGGTTTGTAGGTGGCAACACTTTATTCGGCCAACGTTTCGACCTGTTCGTCGTCGTCAAAGGCCGCGTTCCACCACAACAGGTTAGAAGTTAGTACGTAAGTAAAAATACTAGCTTTACTTTTACTTACGTACTAACTTACTAACCTGTTGTGGTGGAACGCGGCCTTTGACGACGACGAACAGGTCGAAACGTTGGCCGAATAAAGTGTTGCCACCTACAAATCTCGTTGGCAAAACAGAAGAACAAAACAAAAATATGGTGTAGAAAGTGGACTCGTGACAGAAAATAGACCTCGAATTTTGGTATCCGGGCAACTAGGGAGGCGTCAAGATTGCCATTTAGGAGGGCTGCGCCGCATCCGTTACTCCCTCTGAAGCCGCGAAAGGAGGACAGTCTTGGAGACTGTGAGCCAGACTACTTGTACAAGGAAGGACGCCTACGAGTTGCTCGAGCGCGGGGAGTGTCTTTGAGGTACAGCTCACGACTGTTCACGCGTTTACCTGCACTTAGAGCAGGTGAATTACTAAGAGTTTCAGTCTTCATAGTCACAAAACTCTTCCACACGTCTTGTTAAATAAGAACACACTCCGCGATAGCGGGATGGGCGGAGACTCAAAACCGTTGCGTTTCCCTCACTGATGCGCATCCTTTCAGATACGGCAAACAGAGAGCGAAGGCATAGTTATGTTACAGAGAGAGCGATCTGCTTGTTTGGCCCTAGTCATTTTTTGCACCAAAAAGGCTAGAGAAAAAGCTGCTGAGTTCAGCTGAGCGGGCGCACCAAATGGCACTTGGCAAAGCTTGCAAAGGAGATCTTGTGAAATCCTGTACATGGCTGAAGCCACTGAAGTCACTATAGTGACTCAATTGTACTACTTCGAACTTTTACAAGAGTTAACAATCTCACCAAACGGAACCCAAAGTGGGACTTGTTTAATATGTGTCACGAAAGGAAACCAGCGTAAGGGTAAAATGTCCCCCTCCCTCTCTTCGCCGCCTTTCTCCCAGAACCGCTCATTGTTAATATGGAATCCTATCACAAACCTTGCCAATGAAATTCATAAGCATGGAGTCACATGAGGCCATTTCTTTGTAAAGTGTCATAAACTCTCCGATTGTCATGATGAACGTCCTCAGGAGAGCCTCCAGAGGATTCTAAAAAGCAACATTTATAATCATCACTCAGCGAAATGCTTCAGTGATGAAGGAGTCACCGCTTACATCGATAACGTTCTGAAAGTCGCTTGTTCCGCCTTCTGCCGTAATTTTCTTAGCTGCACGTTCACAAGCTGTGAAAATTATGTAGAATGCTAAAAGAGTACAAATCAAATCAGATCTGTGATCAGAAGGATTTTTCAACTTAGAGCACACCCCAGTTGCCTGTTGATTTTCCTAGAATAGAGATGCAAAGAAAGCTAGAAAGATCTAGAATGTTCAGGGGACTCACACTGAGAAAATCCCACTAGAAAAATTGAGTAAATAAGGAAGAATCTGGTGAGATCCGTGGCGATGATTGTATACACCATGAGCACGAAGGGTCCAATGAATGGTATAGCCCTAAAGTATCGAAGTATTGATGCATCGTTAAAGGTACGGTCCGCTATCAGGTATAGAAGTTGAAAATATGGTGTCAGGAGGGTAGTGTGGTCCGCGACGAACAACCTTGTACCGGTTTCGCATCAAAAAATTGTAAAGGGCGCTATAGCGCAATATAGGTTCAGTGACGCCTCCTTTTTTCCAGTGACTCCGCCTCCAGACTCCGCCCTCAAGGCCCGCCTTTCAGTGAAAACGAAGCTGCAGGACGAAAAAGCATGAAAATCGTCACTTGTACGGTCGTAGAGTTCTTATCGGGGAATCAGCTGTGCGGATGAGGGCGTAATATTGAAGAAGGGGTTAATTGGTCATGTACCAACCGGGATCGGAATGCGGCTCTATTTAGGCAGTCGGCACGTTTTTTCTCTGCTTTTTTTCTCTTTTTATCTTCATCTAATGCAAATTATTCAGGCACGGCGTGTGCAGTGATTTGAGGAGGTGTATAGGGTTCCTTCCTATATGGTTGGCTCAGACCGGTCCTCTAGGTGTGCCTATCATCAGAACGCCTGCGTCCGGGAGAAGGACAAGACAATCGCAATTTGTGGTCGTCGCAGCTGCGTGTGGTTCGGCAATGAGTTTTCCATGAGCATCAACTTCTCAATTAAAGGCAGCAGTTGGCACGATTGTATGGTATTCGGCCTAAAATGCTAGCAAGACGCTGTAGGGTGGGAAAATGTCGAAAAAAAACGAAGTGGAACGGTCAAAGCCCGCGAAGAAAAGCCTTAGTTCACAATGGCCCAGAAATTTTGGACAGGTTTCTCATAGGCATCTCTAGGTGTGCCTATCATCAGAACGCCTGCATCCGGGAGAAGGACAACAATCGCTACGGTAGATGCGGCTGCACATATATACTCATATATCCATGCAGCACCGCAGCCGCTTCATACCAATCCCTTCGCTTCATATTTTACTTAGCAAATGAAGCAATACGAGCATCAGGTACGGTCGTCCATTTGTGGGCGGGCGGGCGCGGTGGGCGTTCGGGTCGGTATGTTGTAGCTTGACAGGGCACTATAAGGGTGCCTTTCTTGGATAAGGTAGCACCTGCTTAGTGTCGCGGAATTCCGTCTTGCCAGGTGTATTATTCCTACTCGTCTTAGGGATTTATCTTGCTAACTGCCTTCAATGCAGTGGAACTCATGTGAATTCGAGCGGCTGCAAGACCCCACGCAGCGTGAGATCGAATTGTTCTCGTTCCTTCAACGTTCGTATTCGAATAACACTGGCAGGACAACTTGTCTGTCGGGAGCGGTGTCGCTCGCCACCCCGTGTCACCCTTGAATTGAACATGGCGGCAGCCGAGGTTTTCGTAGATATTTTCATTTTGGGACAGTTGTAATCATGTGTTTGTGCAACACGGAACAAGATGACCGTTGTCTCAAATAGATCTACCGCACCAGTAACATTTTTCATGTTCAAACGCCACGCCTACTCCTACTCGTCTCAGGGAGAAGGAGTGTACTATTGCGTGAAATATTAAACAGTTCGTCAACGTCGATGAGAATGACTGGGATTTCGTGGTCAAAATGCAAGGGCGGGAAGCTCGAATACTTCAATGCGCTGGATCTGTAAGGATAGACGAAAAGATTAGTTATCACAAGAATGCTGAGTTGTGGGCAAAAGTCGTGCCCCAGGCGGGAGTCGAACCCGCACCTCACGCTTTCCGGGCGAGTGCGCTATCCGTCACCAAGTTAAACGTGTGAGTGCTGTAGGCTACGGCATAAAAGCCGTTGAGCTGAGAGGGTAAAAGCGGCCCTGGTGGCGTAAGCGGATGAACGCCACGGGATCCCCCCCGAAAGGCGTGAGGTGTGGGTTCGACTCACCGTTTGGGGCACGATTTTTTGCCGCAAACTCAGGCAATTCTTGTGAGTAACGTCGCCAAGCATACTGCGTGCGTTAAACAGCAGCTAATCGTAAACGAAACAGCTTCGACCAAGATTACTGGCACTCAACGAATTTCTTGGAAAAACTGTAACCATAATTGGAATGTTTGATCTCATGCAGTCAGGCACAGCAATTGGGGGAATCCCCATAGGGGGGGGGGGTCGTATTTGGCCGCCAGGAGAGGGGGGGGTCGTAATGAGTGCGGTAGCCAGTATCGAGCAGCGCAAAGGTGTCAGTGTGCTGAATCCTGTGTAGCGGAACTTGCTTCGTAGAGAACTCGGATATGTAAAAAATGAGTACAAAACTTTCATCCATCAAACTAATCCGAAATAATTGGAATTATTAATAAGTCGACAACATCTCGTAAGTGATTAAACACTACAACTCATACTCTGGTTTGCTGCGGATGATGGGGCGTGTCCGCGATCACGCTTGGCGCTGAGCCAACCTGTTTTTTTCTGACAAACGACAGGACTACCATATCGTTCGTACCAGACGTTTTCCAGCACTTGGTCTCCTTTATCGGAATCAGCAACTATCGGAGCACAGATCTGGCGGCGTCGACACGGACACGCTACATCATCCGCAAGGGAAAACACTGTAGACAAGTGCACAGGTTCGCCATGGACCTCCCTGAATCCTACAGACACATTTGCGCGCGTGGACACACATTATGCACAAGTTGCACCATCCCATCACTTCTGCGCGGACCTCAGTGCGCGGCGCATACAAAGTCAGCGTGATCGGCGCTAAACGAACCATATCCTGCTCCTGCTCCACCACAGGATACGTTCTACATGCGTTCCTGGCTATTCGAACACGCTCACTTGAAACGGTGCACAGGAAACGGGTTTTTCGCGCGGCTGGGAGTGCTCCCTAAGAAATCCCCATCGCGAGATCTCATGAATCCCGAGAGCTTCAGAACAGTTCAAGAGGTTTTCAGAAAGAGAAAATCTTGAGAAGCTCGGATCCGTTCTCAGATTTGTGAAATGTTGAGTTACAAAAAAAATATATTGGTTCAAACCTGTTCAACTTAAACTTCAACCCTTCACTCCCCAACGAATCCCTATGGCAGATTTCTCTGTGATTTTCGCGACCTTCATGAACATTTTAGTACTTTCAGGAAGATCAAACCTTCTAATTTACCAATACGCTCTCCTCTTCCCCACAGGTCCGCTTTTGAGGAAGTTATGGTCCTTCAAAGACACCCTACTTTGCTGAAAATTCTCGCTCCATGGCTAATAGCCGTTTGCTCCAGTCAAAGCTGCAATTCATACCCAACTCTGCTACCGTACTCCACATCTCGGGGTTAATGCATTTTAGGCGTATTTCTTTTTTGTTTTCTTTTTCTGTTATAAAGCTTTTCGTTTTTTTTCGTTTTAATCATAGTCTCATTTAACTCGCATTTATGCTGCGTGTATGCTACTCATCGTGTTTTTGATCACAAACGCTTGTACATAAGTAAATCAAGTCAATTTAGGTAGGACTGTTTATATCTATTTTTTATATCTAATTGTTTATATCTAATTTCAGGAATTATGTGACGTCAAACAGTAAAAAGGGGGGGGGGTCGTACCGAACCCCCAAAAAGGGGGGGGGTCGTACAGGCTCGACCAAAATCCCCATCGAATGCTGTGCCCTGTGCAGTGGCGAAAGTGTTCAGTGAACTTTCAGCAGAAGGATGTGTTGTCACATTGTGGAAGCTTGAAGAATAGAAACGTGGACGACAGGAGGAATGGCAATAGAAACAATTTATGCAGAAAAGCTACTGGATAGCTATTCGAAGAAAGGTCGCTGTTACTTACCCTTTGGTTGCAGGCTGTTATTTTGGAAAAAAAGTACGAAAAAAATTCTCACCTGAGAAAGTAGAGGTAGTGAATCGTGGTAAGAATAACGGCAATTGCAGCGATAAAGTTGTCAGCGCCCAGGAACGTGTCGTGAAGATGACAGCCGAATCGAATTGGAACTTCCGACAAAACCAATATGAAGGACACCTTGTACAGTATTTTAGCAGGAAACGCCTTCTGAAATGCGAAAGTGCACTCACAGCTGGTAAGGAGAAATTGAGAAAACCCTCGCCTTTGCGAGCGCTGGTGAAATTTTTACCGGTCACAGGGTACAACATCGTGTAACACATGGGGGGGGGAGTTCTTTTCGGTTAGGGAGGGAGAGGAGTCGTACTTGGTCGTTGCTGCAAAAAGGAGGTAGTCGTATTTCCTTCGAGAGAAATTTGCCCCTTGTGAGTTCTTTTCGTGATTTTTCTTGTTTTATGTGTACTATATACACCGCCCCCCTCCCCGCCTCCCTCCCCTCCGCTCAACGGAAAATTTTTGCGGGAAAAACTGGAAAATGTAGGAATTTGTGCGTGTTGGGGAAGGGGGGGGGTCGTACTGACACCACCATTTCACAGATCACAATGGTGTACCCTGACCGCTCATAAGGTGTGGGCTTATAGAGGCAAGTGAGCCATTGCAACAACGGGTGTATCACTTCCATCTTTGAAAAATGCTTGTCAAGAAGGCCATGGGTTTGTCATCGCTTCAGGTTACAGGCTTCCCCGCCCACTAATAGGCCACACGCCACACAGCTACGTCATACGCTTTGCTCGCCTGCGCGCGCCCCAAAGATACAGTACCGACGAGTTTGATTTGGACCGTTGAGGCATGTTCTAGGTTGATTCTACCCGAAATATGCAGAAGACCATAAGGGTCGAGCACTATCTCGGTAAGAGTACGCAAACGGGCAGAGCGTATGGCACATATAGTGGCCGCACGGCACGCTAAATCTTGATGGGAGAAGATCATCAGCATCACAACTGGAATTTTTTCCACACCCATGAGGTGCCAAAATGGAACACATCAGCGCCTGTGGACCTGCTCACCCCAGACATATGAAGCATTTTGTTGCTGAATTAAATTGCTGGTATTCGATGTAAAGCCAACCAACCAGTATTGAAAACCATTTCGATTTTCCGATTCGTCGGACATCACGGACGTCAAGGAGAATCTGAACGATGACCAGCACGACGACGGTAACTTCGCAAGCTAGTCGCAGCTGAAATGACATCAAATTTTCCTGTTGACAGACTTGTAACTACCGCCAAAAGCGATAGCGCTGAGAACTTCAACTTACCCAACCTCTATCCCATCCCCATCGCCAGTATTGCGATAAGTGGCATTTGGCATCTTCCTCATCTGAACACATTGCGCTTTAACTCATCATTTGTCGGCTAATTTCATTACTCTTCTTGGCCCGAATACAAGCACTCGAGGCCAAAGGACTACTGGATTCGTATTGAGTCAGCTTCGTTCTTCATGGTAAGCGACGGCGCGAACAGCAAAGGCTACAGGAAGTGAAGTTTGATTTATAAGACAGTTTTGAGAAACGAATCCTGATGGTGGTGAGCAATTTGACGACGAACATACTTCACAGGCTAACCGTAATACGCATTAATTCAAGCGAAGGCAGGGTCATGCGTCAGAGTAAAGGCAACGGATATGTGAAATGGTGGTGTAAGTACGACCCCCCCCTTTTTGAGGGAGGGTATCGTGTGCGTTCCCCCCCCCCCACCTAAAAGGATGGCGATTGTGCCGTCCGGTCCTCATTTCTCTTTTCCCAGACGACCAAACACGACCACCTCCCCCTTCCCTAGCTCTCGCCATGGGAATAACGATCGACTCCCTTCCCCCATGTGTTTTCACAAAACGATGCGTTATACCTTGGTCATCCCCCCGCCCCGCGGGCGCAGCCGCGCCGCGTATCGCACCGGGTCGCGTGCTTCGGCGCGACAGTGGTAACATGCAAGCTTTGTAATTTTTTCGAGGCTATTGGATTTCCTTATTCTTTGAGTATATGAGCTGGTGGTGACTTCTTTTCCATTAGAAGTTGAACTGGGGCTTATACTACGGCCCTACACGAATCTCAGGTTTTAATTTCCATTTAGATTAAGAGAAGAAAGAAAGAAGAGAAAAAGAAAGAAAAGGTTATGGAAATGTTCCACTGAGACGAAGCTTCAGTCCACCACATTAGCTCCTCCGGTGATTTATGTCTCGTCGTGAAGTGAAAAAACGAAAAAGTGTAAATAATTTCACTCTTTGTCCATTTGAATTGTCGATCGGTGTTTTCACAACAGACCATCGTGCTCTTTCTATGTTGCTCAATTAGTCCGAACCGCGTGAATTTTGCCTGAAGATTTCGATTTGCTATTTATGCCGACGGATGCTAAAATGCTGCAGGGGTTGTGTTGATGCGTAGAGGTGCCAGGGGAACTGGGGCTCAGCTCCAGGCCGTTTCCATCAAATGTTGTTGCTGGCTGTCTTCAGCATCGATGGAGAACGGGCTGGCGTCACGCCAAACTTAGCCCCATGGCACGCCCCAGCATGCGCAAGGTTGTGCCTATAGTACCTCAGTTGTGGCCGAGAATGGTCGTAACATGTATGCAGCCGTGAATATCATATAGTAAAATGTGAACGCAAGCAGCGAACGGAGCCAGCTAAAAAAGCTCCGATTATTCTACCATTGAAGATTGAATGCGCAGTCTATGATAACGGCTTGGGTGGAGACAGTCACCGCTGTGCCATTTTCATTAGTTTGGTATTTTTAGTCGCCTCACAAGGACGCACCAATGAGGAAGGCTCGACAACTCCATGTCTCCTCCCGTGCGTTCAACGTGGACTGTGCATTCATTCAAAATAAAGAATGGAAGAACTCGTACCATAGCTTTCCGAAAGCTTTCCATTTTTCGTCGAGAATTTTTTCGAGAATTCCATCCAGCAATTCCAGATGTTGAGAAGTCTTCTAAAAGGAGCGCCCTGTCTTAGACTGCCATGTAAATGATCATTCCGCTCAAAGTATACAGTTCAAGGCCGAAATTTTGGGCTCAAAGTATTCACCCCGTAGACAACGAGTGAAAGCGCAGACTGCTCATTCATTTCACCAGATACTTCATTTATTGTGTCGATTTTCGTCAATGGATATGAAAAACAGCTCGCCTCTCCATAGACCCAAACGCTTTCGCCCTCCAGTTCAAGAATGATGTTGAAAAGCTGAAAATCTAATTGAAAATGCAGCCCACTTCCATGGCATCGCCCCCAACAACCTTCTTTTTAGCCAGCTTTGCAGCCAAAGTCAACGGTGTCAGGCTCTGCTTGTTGGCGATGTTCAACCGAGCGCCAGCCTCCAGCGCCATCTTCAGCATTTCCTAAACATTATCCTTGCCATTTTGAGCTCCACAACAAGAAAAACTTCTTAAAACTCACTATTTGTTCATGGATTACACAGAGGTGCAGCGCGGTATTCCCGTTTGTATCTTGAGCGTTAAGATTTGCCTTTTTAGCAACAAGAAGTCGAAATAGATCGGGTTGATTCATAGAAACAGCAAACGACAACGGATACTCTCCGAAGTACATTGTTCTGCAATGGTTATGAATTGCTTGAAAGTATTCAAATTGAAGGCACTATTGACTCTTTTCGGCCCATTTTTCAAGCTATTATCTTCCGGCCCCTTTTCGACTTCGTATCAAAATCTTAAAGCCAGAGGGCTGTTGATACGACAGTGGTTCTTCGTGAAAAATTCATCGGATCAACATACGCTCCTGAACGCAGCAGACTAAAGCCATACCACCTGACAGGCCCTATCTAGACGATAGTTACTCAGTGCCAGACTTCGCATCCACACAACTGGAACTGTGCGCACAGAACCCTCCAAAATCCCGCAGATGTGACCAGTTTCGTGAAACCCTCTGCTTCAGTCGTTCTCAAGTATCATTCTACCCTCGTTATGAAGATAGTCTGTTCGCCGGGGAAGAACGTGCTGAGGAGGGCCACCCTTATATGACTGGGTACCTATCGTAAAAAGCTCCTCTGCACAGTCAGCTTCCTATTGTTAAAGTCCTCATCATTGCGGACCGGTGGGGCGTGTCAGCCAGTATGAGTGTGCACACTGTTGAAGCCGTTCTCAGCCTTTTTTGTTGGAACGCGTATGCGAAAAAAGTAGAAAAATAGAAAACGAGTAATACAGATATAATACATACTGTCACTTGGCCGCTTCAACAGCTGGTGCAGAACGACTTTGGCACCACGCCAAACGCAGCCGCACTGACGCGCCGCACCGGTCCGCAATGATGAGGACTGTACCGATCCTTGAGACCTATAGGTGCGTGTGATGGGCGGTGGATTAGAGCATCTGCATAGATGGCCATGTACCCAGAAATGATGTCTCCTGGAGTCCATTATCATTTGCAGCGTGAGCTTTTTTGCTGTTGTTGTACTAACTTACGCCAATTCACGCCCCTTCGATGCCGTATCGTTTGAAACAAGTGCTTACTCACCCGGTGTAGTTGGTGTTCGTTGTTAAGTCGACGTACTCGTGTTCCAAACTATCCGTTCGACTACTTTTCTGATCGTCCGCACAGAAGAAGGCTCCGTAGCATCTAAATTCACACTTGCTAGCTGAGAAGGTTGAGTAGTAGATCACCTAGCACCTGGGATTCACTTTTAAAAGTGGGATCTCTGAAGACAAGTCACTCACCTACGCACTCACCTACGAGGACGCTCCTTGCAGCTTGCAATAAGGCTAATGGGTCTCGTCTGCAGCAGCGTTTCACTTTCTTGGCTCAAAAATGGGCGGGACCGGGGCTGGAGAGCAGTGGCACCCGACTGTTGTCTCCATACTCCGCCCATGCACTGTTGAGCGGAGAAAGTTGCACGATACTGAAGCTGTGGATCCCCTTGCACATGGCAAGGACCCGGATCCCCGGATGTGAGTGATGTACAGTATTTTTTGAGCAATAAGCAAATGACTTGAAATGAGCTGGCGGACCTTTGGTTCACATCGGCGCCTCTTTGTAGCAGTATCCTAACCATCTGCACGTCATGATTGATGATCGCCAGGTGTAGTGGCGACAAACCTTGAATAGAAAGATTTTTCAACGTCTCCATTGCCAAAAAGTGGCGCTCCAGCGACGTCGATTTCCCCGCCAACTCATTCTCACATGTACATAAGACTTGTTCGTTGCGGACACTGAGACGTGACTTGGCGCGGTGCCAGCCCACTTTCCACCAATTGTGGTCGCCTCCCAGCTTTCACAGCTTTCACAGTTGGTGGCGAACAGGCTGGTGCGCGTCAAACAGCTCCCCCCCCCTCTACAACACCCATCGCCCACGCGAGCAACACTGCACTTCTATCAGTCGTGAAAACAAGGTCGCGATTGGATAGGGGGATCTTAGTAGTGTTTCCGCGGTGATTGAAAAATTCTCTCCCCAAACTTAGCTGAGCCGCTAAAATACTATATAATTACTGCGTAGCAGGTAGTTTGAGTGTTTAGAGAAGACATCACCCACCCATTTATCATCCCCCCCCCCATTTCCACTCAACGATACAACGTCGGGAAGATACTGTGTGAAGGGGATGGTCGAGAACTTTCGAGAGGGTTTTGATCTACAGGTTTTGACGCAAAATTATTTAGGTGGAATCTTTATACGTATTATGTTTTTTGCTTTATTGCGACATTAGTTTAATTTTCATTCAAAAGGTATGGCCTGCGTTTGAGTAGGTCATCTGTCTAGGATATTACTGTAGCCGAACCAAGATGATACAACAGTTTTATTTGGCTTACGTTTCGGCCTTATCGCCTTCGTCAGAGCCTGGAAAAATCAAAGATCAGGGTGAAACTATCCCTCAAACATCATTTCAAACCTCAGGTAAGTTCACCCCAGACCAGAAGGGTCCAGAAACCTGTCATAGGTTACAACCACAACATGACTCACCTTGAATGTACGGCAGGTTTTGTTCGAGACCACCGCTAAACTGACTCCCCATGGGTGGGTTCAGCTGACCTAACCCCACGACCTGAAGCCGATGGCAACTGAAGCCCACACAGGTCAGCAAACGGGGCGAGCTCGTTTGTGATGGCTAGGCATTCGTCCTTCTTGTTCATTTTGGGGTTTTTTGACCCCAGACTTCGGCACGCAAAACTTTGGAAGCGTTTTGGATAAGCGCTAAAAACCCCAAAATGAACAAGAAGGACGAATGCCTAGCCATCACAAACGAGCTCGCCCCGTTTGCTGACCTGTGTGGGCTTCAGTTGCCATCGGCTTCAGGTCGTGGGGTTAGGTCAGCTGAACCCACCCATGGGGAGTCAGTTTAGCGGTGGTCTCGAACAAAAACCTGCCGTACATTCAAGGTGAGTCATGTTGTGGTTGTAACCTATGACAGGTTTCTGGACCCTTCTGGTCTGGGGTGAACTTACCTGAGGTTTGAAATGATGTTTGAGGGATAGTTTCACCCTGATCTTTGATTTTTCCAGGCTCTGACGAAGGCGATAAGGCCGAAACGTAAGCCAAATAAAACTGTTGTATCATCTTGGTTCGGCTACAGTAATATCCTAGACAGAAGCTCACAATATGCCAAGATTCATGGAGGGTCGAACGTGGATGCTCTGGTCATACTGTTTGAATTTTTTTTGACGGGGACTGGTTGTTTGCCTGACAGTGCTCTGCGACGGCTCTGCCAAGAACGGTTCTGCCTCTCTCGCACCACGCCGGGCTTGTTGCCACCAGGTATCAACTGCATTCCATCATCTCAACCGTAGTAATCCTCTGAGTACAATATCATTGAGCAGCTTCGGGTGGTTATTCTAAAAATCCAGTATCCGAAGAGCAAGCATGTTATGAATTATTGTCCCTTGTAGAAGACAAACGCCAACTATCGTTTCTCCCATAGACCCTGAAAAAGAGCTTCAAATAGGGATGCATAAGAATTACGAAAGGAATGATAATAAAAAGAGAAAAAGGTGGTGAAGAGAGAATCAAAGAAATGCAAAAATATTACATTGATAACAAAAAAGGCAACGGCAGCGGGTTTGGAGTAGGCAACAAGTGTCGTACTGTTGAAGGAAAACGTCCAAACTGAGGCGAGCTTGGGCCGAGTGAGTAGTAACGGGGCGCCTTACAAAAGCTCTGCGATTTTTAGCAGAACGCGGATACGTGGCGTTCCCAAATTTAACCAAACGATGCCGTCAGTGGAGCTTATTCAGAAAGTGAGCAGAGGACCTTTAAATGCTTGGGTTTCAACAGCGGAATTCCGCAACGCTTCGTGTGCGATTCTAAAGGTCTACGGCAACGCGACCAAACTCAATCCTTCAATGGCTCTAGCTTTTGCCGTTTTTCCAACTGCGCTCTTGTGACTGCATGCCATTTTGTGACGCTTTGATCTTACATCCCATCTTTTTCAGGGACGATAAGTGCGCCTCTTCCATCCGGTGTCCACTTCCTTAGAGAAAAGTCGGGGCCCTACTGACTGTTTTTGCACCTATTGATGCCTTGAGCAACCAGGAGTTCTTTATTCTCTGCGGTCTGGCCTTCAACCGTCAGGACCTCTACCAAATGTTTTAGTTGTCACGTAACTCTCTTACGACCACGTCTCTGCCTGTCTTTCGCCTGAGCACTCGTGGCCCTCGTATATGGACTGTACACTGCATATCCCTTGTGGACGTGACTGCGGACCTGGCGGTTGCTGCGCTTTTGAAAGATATTGCTATTCCGGGACAAACATAAGCATGTCCTTGTCAGGGTACAACACAGGATAGCAGTGATTTCAAATGGAACTCACAAAAAAGCTGCATATTCAGCTGTGGAAGTGCAGCCATGCCTTTCCCATCTCTGAGATATGGAGAGTATATGCTACCTCCTGCACTGATTTCAGTGGAATGATACCTTACGACCACGTAAGGATGAAGACAACGAGCATCTAGGAGTAATTTCTGTGAATTATATGCACAAACCTCACCTCTCTCTTCGAGTTTCCAATTCAGCTCACGATACTTGGATTCTGATTTTCCACCTTTTCCACCTCCATCGAGAAGTTTTAGTGCTAAATAAGCACCGATAGGTAAAACAGCGACTCACTTGCTAAATTCATCAAAAATCTACCCTTTTTGAGATCTCCAGCATTGACGTCATTTTGATCGAATCCTTCGAGAACGTTCACAGCTGCTTTTCCTTTACCTTTCTTACGAAGAAAAGCACCTAGTTTAGCGTTTCGTTCTGGAAACCAGACCTGTTGTGAAGGTCAAAATTGAGCCCAAATGCAGTCTCCTCGATGTGTGTCAACTAGGTTCGGTCTGTGTAGTGAAAAAGGGCTCTGGAAGGTCTACACCAATCTGATCCTTTGGGAGCGAGGGTAGACCACACTGTGGCGGACGGAGGGGATGGAAGACTTCTCATTCCACCATGGGCTAATAGAAAGCGCATTACTATCGGTCTCTCTCTCGTCGCAATGTGCGCTAAATTATGGCGCTGTGGTGAGCACGTGGGTGCATATAATTGGAACTACGTCTGAAGAAGTGGGCACGATGGCTGGGGGAGGGCGGTTGCTTCAACGTCATTGGTGGAAAGGCTGAATGGCTTGGCTCGACGCCTTTCCGCTCTTTCCCCAAAGACGTTCAGCAACCCACCTCCCAGAATTCCAGCCATCGTTCTCACTGCGTTTGCGAGTTCTCACTCTTTTGCACCTTACCATTCTATCATTTCGCTCAAAGTTGAATATTGGGCACGTGCCACCAGGGCACGCCATCGCATTGTGATAAATTTCTGCTAAGTACGACCTCCCCCCTGTCCATTGCTAACGGCCTAGAGTTGCGAATACTTCCTTTCTGCGGAAAACAAGACCGCCGAAAATCGACAGGGAATGCAACGCTTCATGGATGAATGGGCTCAACTCAACTGATGCCCATTCACCAAGCGAAAATTAATTCCCCACAAGGCGGAAAATGAAGGAACTGCACTCTAGTTCGCTGCGCATGAAGGGGCGTGTTGGGCATAAGTGTGCCACAAGGCCAAACCCATTCCCTCACAGTTGTTGAAGCGGGTATGCGACAACAATCGGTAGAAAACGAGTGGTACGAGCGAAATTGATTCAGTCCTTAACACTGTGTCGCTGCTCAACTGTTGATGGAGTTGGCCACCGCCGACCCCAAACTCTGCAACCTTGAGACGCCCCCTTCGTTCGCAGGAACTAGACTACACTTATCTGATAGCAAACATATTTTTGGTTTTTGCGATACTGTGCCCAGCAAAAACCGTTTATCTACCGCTTATTTACCACATAAACACTTAACTGCTGGCAGATTCATGCCCCCCCCCCATGAGAGCACCACCACACTAAACGGTTTGTGTACCGTATCAGATAAACAATCTATGCGCTGGCCTTCATGGGAGGCAAGAATCATGCCAGCCTAAATTTTTGCCATGATGACCGTCAGAAGGTTGAAAAAAAAACCCTGAGAAAATATGGAAGATCTGTGAAAATGAACGACAAAAGAAGAACGTGACGGTAATCTATGGTGCTTCAAGCTATGGTTACGGTGCCATAAGCTGGGAGCACCATTTTCGCCGCGCCACCGCAACGTGGATCCTCCGACCGGCTGTCTCGCATACTCGAAATCCCTGAGATCGGTACTTAGGGTGGCAAACATGCTTCCAACTTGCCGGGAGAAGGTCTTTACGCTTCTGGTGAGTCGTATTTTCATCTGTGGCACAATTATCTGTCGTGCGCGTCTGTCCAACACAGAACAAGACGACAGTTGTCCCAGACGGGGATGTCCCACGAGTAACCAGTTCCGTGCCATGTTCAAATGCCACGCCTACTCTGTCTCAGGGATAAGGAGTGTACAACGGGCAGCGAGAATTTGCCAATCGCCGCGGCAGGGCACATCGTTGTTGGGAATCACCAACAGGGGTCGTATTTGGCCGCGCCGCCGGGAAAGGGGGGTCGTATTGAACTGAGGAAATTATTTTTTAGATGGCTGATTGATTTTTCTCGCTTCACGGACGCTTAGTAAAAAGGGGGGGTCGTATCTACTCTTCTGCGCCATATTCTAGGCAGTGGTGTGAGTGCAGTGGGTTGACTTCCTGTTTCAATGGTACTATATATCCCTTCCCCCCGCGACAGCACAATGTTTTAAGGAAAAGTAGGGGAAGGTTTCAGAATATTTAGGCGAAAGGTGGCCAGTTAGTTGGGGGAAAATCTCGAGAATTGCTGTTGGAAGGGGGGGTGTTTCACAGGTGCTAAAATCCCCAACCAATGATGTGCTCGGTCTAGAGCGACCACGTGACGCGTCATTTTCATCACAACTGCGGTCTCGTTCGCTGTGTATGCTAGGGCGTCTCAGCGAGGCTAGGTCAGTGGCAGCTCGAGCCAATTCTCCACCAATTGTTGAACGGGGGCAAGCAATAAGACTTGATGGGGAGCGGGTTGGTGCTGCGCCAATCACACCCCTGACATGCCCCAGCATCCACAGCGAACAAGAGGTGAAGCGCCGCACAATTTTTCGGCCAATATGACCAATATGGCGCACACTGACAACGCAACTCTGCGGTCATGCAACCCCGTCCGGATTCTTGTCAACCGCGAAACCTCCCCTAACACTCCCTTTTTCCTTCTTCCTTCATTCTTTTCCTTAGTTCCTTCTCTCTTCCCCCTTCCGCTTCCATCTCTCTTCAACTGGGTCAGTGGATGCGATGAGAAAACACCCTGGACCTTCGCAGCAAGAGCATGTCCGGTTGACAAGAGCTCTGTATCCATTGAACCCACCTTATTTCGCAACGCAACCAGCTCTGTTACAGCGAACAGCTTGCCTTTCTCGTTATTAAGCAAGAATTCAGACATTCGAGTCTTTATATACTTGTCAATGAACGAGTAGTCTTTGGTAGAGTTGGCGTGTCTGAAATTTTAAGGGAATTTTATTGGACTTAATGTCACTCCTCTCGCTCACCTCATTATCGTCATCATTTCGCCTCCGCCGTGCAGATCTACCATGCGATAGAGTCGCATGTCTTCTTTTAGAAGCCCCGCCGCTTGGGCTTCCGCTTTCTCCATTTCGGTAAGCTTCATACCCCTTGGCTACCTCTATCTAAATCTCGTATCAGTTAGAGTGTGTTGCAATCACCCTGGCAACCTACAAAACAGAGGTATGAAAGTAATTCACGAGCGCCAAAGGCTTAGAACAGTCTAAAAATTTATGATATTTGTGTTCTTTTTTCATTTCCTACAACGATGCCGAGCAACAACGATGCCGAGGTTTTAAAAGAACCTGGGCACGGGTTTTGTGGCTATCTTTCGCTCAATCCCTGCCCTATGGACGCCCTTCTTGAGCCCTCTTGTATCTTACGTAGTAGAGGAGGCATTTTGGACTTTTGCAGGTTCTCTTGTTGGTTCATGTTTACTATCAGGTTTCATTTGGGTAGGGAATGATAACCTCCCGTTGCGGAGGCACGAGTAAGCCATTTTGGTTGCGAGACTTTACATAATGCGGAAGGTCTGGTGTTCCACCTTTAGAGAGGGTCAATCTTCAGTAAGGCTAAGGCGCCTCATACCTGTCTTTCTGCAACCTCTTTCCTGAACTGCCTGACGTGACTTGCAAAACTTGAAGTGGGCAAAGCTGTGATAAAAGTGGCCTAACAAGGATAAATGCACCTGTCCTGCGATTCCGAACAGATAAATATTTATGCCTCTCAACTATAGAAAACAGGCCACAACGAGGCATTGAAGACAGCACAAAAAGTATGTTACGCAGCCAAAGCAGCGCCCACAGGACAAGCAGAGCGCCAACAGCAACGCAATACACATCAAGCATAACCGTCTGTTGAATGTACAGTAATCTCAGTTCTCAACAAAATAATGAATTGTAGCTACGATTATATGGCAGGTTTATGGTTATATGCAAATCCTGTGCAAAAGCTCGTATTAAAGGCAGTTGGCGCGATAATTTGGTACTCAGCCTAAATGCTAGCAGGGCGCTATCTAGTGGGAAAATGGCGAAAAAACGAAGTGAAACGGTCGAAAACTGCGAAGAAAAACCTTCGTTCTTGGAAGGCAATTTTGGACGAGTTTTCCGTAGGCATATTGCAACCGCTACGGTAGGTACGGCTGCATGTATGTACTCATATATCCATTCAGCACCGCAGCCGCTTCATACCAATCCCTTCGCTTCATATTTTACTAGCAAATGAAGCAATACGAGCATCAGGTACGGTCGTCCATTTGTGGGCGGGCGGGCGTGGTAGGCGTTCGGGTCGGTATGTTGTATGTAGCTGGACCCTTACACGAGCACTTTCCCAGGGGAAAAACCGCTGCGCAGCGCCTGCTCAGGGTCGCGGAATTCCGCCCTGCCAGGCGTATCAATCCTACTCGTCTCTAGGAATTTATCGTGCCAACTGCCTTCAAATGCTCTTGCCTATAGCAAAGATGAACTTCTTGTGACTCAGTAAGCTATTCAGTAAGCTAGGAAATTCCTTAGAATAGGCACAGGCTTTCCTAGTTGTTTGCCCCTCTCCATTCAGAGAAATTACTTTTTTAACATAGTCTTTTCCAGGGTTGTTTTTTTAACATAGTCTTTCCCAGAGTCTTATCTAGAAGTGAACGTTCTACAACACAAAGAAGCAGAAGAGTTCGCATCCTGTTCGGCTTCAGGAGAGAGGGGGCTGCTGCGCATAGGCACGTTAAAAATTAGTTTGCGGTGGAGGTGGTGTAGTGACAAGTAACCTGCTTACTACGCGCGTTGAGAAGCGATCAAATCCCGGATCGGCTAACGTCCGGGCCATCCAAGCCTTTTATCCTGGAATAGAAAATTAGTGCCAGATTCGTTTGGGAAGATAAGAACACTAACTTGAAGATCGGCTAGCTTCCGCAACTCATGGTGTAGACCATATCAAAATGTGATTCTAAGAGGATTTTGCCGAATTCCTCAAAAGGCGAAGTCTCATCCGAAACCATTTCTAGATGGAAATAGAACGAGCAGCACAATCCAGAAGGGATGGATCCCCGCTGAGTGCTTTATCCTTTTTTGATTTGAAGCTCAGCCTTTATGGGGCCTCCAGGGGCAGGTGGTTCCCAAGCTTAACCTGTCTTACTGCTGGATTGAGAAGAGCTGTAGTAAGACTTCTAAAGGTTTGTAGAAATTTCGTCACTATCACCCTCTAATTTTTCTCCTCTTGCTGTGTTTCTCTTAATTACTACATTTTATTTTTTGTTATATTTCATTTGTCGTGACACCAGCCATCTCCACTATTCCAATATTACCACCCCTTATTGATTTCATTTTAGTTCCTTATTTCTGGTTGAAAGCCAGCAATTCTAAATAAACATGAACTTATGAAATATTGGGCCAAAAAATTCAGGACAGTAGAATTGAAGTCAACATTTCGGGCTGAATATTCAGAAAAAGGATTACACAGCTTAACTGAACGACAAAAGTGACAGAAAGTGAAGCCATTTCACCAAATGCTGTGGGCTTACGGTAAGAGAAGATTCTTAATGCATGCAGGATACGGTAGGAAGAAACTTTCAGTGAGTCGATAGAGGGAAGGAACGAGTGGTGAAAGATTCGTGTGACATTCCGTAGCGTGTTATGAGCAATCCCACCTGGCTTGGTCTGATTGGATTTGATTACTCGCACGACTTTACGGCTTTTCTCATGCCGAGCTTGAGGTTGTTTGTAGTCGCAGGGTAATCGAAACGTGCGCCTAGAGACTGATCGTTGCTTTTCTCTTCTTAGAACGCGCTATGAATTCACTCAGTTTGGCTCTAGAAGTATGGGCAGGGTCAATCTCATCGGTCACATATTTCCACCTCTGAAATCGTAAATTATCATGATAATGGAAGGATGTCGGAGGGGTCTTCTGCATTTTTGAATGGATCTTCGGTTATAGCCCTCAGCAATTTTAACAACTGTATTAACGAGAATAGACTTGATTGAGGAATTTAATGGAAAAATCAGGACGTTTCACGGCTTCGGAAGGGCATGTCGCACTTGCGCTAGTTTCTCTTGCTAGCTCCTGTTGAATTACACGTCACACCTTGGTATTCGTGGCAATGCAGACGAAGCTGCTGCTTTCTACAGATTAACAGGAATTAACGGGTCTTTACAGGAAGCGCCGGCAGGAATCAGCAATATGCCCCCACCAAGCAGAACCGACAAAATTGGTGTGTTGACAAACGGTTTGAACGTCTCCATCGAGCACAGAGAACCTACTGGGCAAGTCCTGCGCGTCATGGGGGCGGCTGGATACGTTACTGGCACTCATGCCGCCAGCTCGATGATCAGCGGGAGCACGCGGTCACAGTTGAGTAAAAAATCGGCGGGGTGGTTTCTGGGGAAATGCCTGGAGGGCCTTGGCTAGCTCTCCAGGTGCAGAATACATCGTCGACGTAACCGCAATGGCGGGTCGCTGGCGGTCACGACCAACCCCCTCCATCCCTTCCCCAAGTTTTCTCCTACGTTTCGACGTCCTTTTTCGCATCATAGTCCTGGCTACCGCCTTGCCAAACTCCCCCAACTCCCGACCCGACCAGTTTCCTAGAAAACTTACTAATTTTCCCAAGAAGCCAGCCCCGACCATGAAAGAAGGTATTAAATTCTTACGAAACGGAACAAAACCAGCAACCGCAGAAAATATTCTCGCAACTCAGAAAAATTCTCTGAATGCCCAGTACGACGTTCACCTTTTCTCCCCTTCTCAGCGACTAACAACATCTCCTCCTGGGATTCGATGTTGCAACGATGTTGCACCCCCAGATTGCTATTCACTTTGCTTACACAGGGGTCCACGCATTGTTTACATGGAAGAGACTGTATTTCTCCTGTTTTACGATTCATTAAAGCTACTTCATTTGAATTAACAACACTTAAATTTAACGAAGAAGAATACTTTCTGCAATCATTCGCGTTACTTGATACGGGTCACAATTCGATGAGGGACGGCGGTCCTCCAGATAGCCCTGAAAAATGGGATAAAGGAACCGACATGTGCTTTCCAAAATGGTTGTGAGTAGCTTTGGCAGCGAAACTACGCAGACCTTCTTGGCGAGTGCTACTCCTCTCGGAATGCGGACGGATGCTGCTCGATTGGCCACGCCCCAACTGAAGAATTCGGCTGAGCTGGTCTCGTGTTTTCCAGTTAACCTGAAATGATTCGAGCTTGGCGAATACCCAACCCTCTCAGGGAGGAAAAAATTTATTATTCGGAACGATATTCGATTCTGTTGAACGCGCTGGTTTTGCCGATCGTATAGGACGCTATACAGGTGGAGCCAAACACCTATCGTGCTTTCTATATTAGCACGCGCCACCTTCTAAAATGGACAGGATGGCGCGCCAATCAGGGAGTCAGGCAATGGCTGACTGTCTCCGCCCATATGACAATTGTGAAGTGCACCTTTCGAATTCGTCCCTTAGATTACCTTATAACTTTGGAGTCGGAGTTCGGAGTGAAAAACAGTAGCCTGAAATGTATAGCAATCTTTTCAACAGAAAAGCTTACGCGTACACCACAGCCCCCTCGGTATCAATTTATTTCGAGCAGCGTTCATCGTGGGTATTTTTTTATTTACATCTCGCTGTGAGTATGGCTTCGGGGTGGATATGCCGTACCGGGATTCCTTTAAGCCAAGAAGGGCAAAATACTGTTCGCGGAGGTAGTATGCACAGGGTTCTTTTTAAAGACAGCCCCTCGCGCTCATTGCACTAAGCTACATGGCCGACTCCTTCGCTGTGCAGAGTAGCGATGTAGCCTGCAAAGCTAGATACTGTCCCACTCTTCGCGACTCCACACTGATGCGAGCAACGCGAGCTACAGCCGCTCAAAGTTCTAGTTCTAACGCCCGCCCAGTCGGACCGCCCCACTTGCTAGCTGCCCTCTGACGGAGAGCCGCTCAGTTGTTCTTTGTTGGGACGGCGGGCATTAATCGGAACTGCATGTACTTTTTGCTGACCGCGCTCGTGCTCATAAATAATTCTGCTCTCCTTCATCACATTTTATTCATTGGGAGCACATACAGTCAACTGCAACCCATCTCGTAAGGTAAAACGCGTAAAAATCACGAATGATGCAATTTTCTGTGTGCAAAAGTCAAATTTGCAGCTAATGCTGCACACTTCACGTAACCCCAAATTCGGACGCCAGGTTTTTCAGTTTTTCCTTTTTTCAAGTGTTTTCATTCGTGTCTTTGTTGTTTCTCATATTCTTCTCTTTGAGTCAGATGCTTCCACTACGCTTGGGAAATGATAAAGCGAACTGAGCCAGGGCGTTGCCCACGGACCGCAAGGCGATGTAACTGTAAGGGAGCAATTTTGTTAAAGGTGTTCTTGAGGCTTTGTTGCCTTTTTCTTCATTGAGGAATTACTTGTCAGCTACTGTTTCATAACTGATCAACAATTGTCCTTGACACTTTTATCGCGGAAGCTGTCTTTAAAGGTCGCAAAGATGATTCCCACATCTAATTTGGTGCAGATTCACCCACTCCACCTCTCGTGAGCTACGGTAAGCTGATGTCAGACATGTGACCACTATTTCTTTATTCTCTTCTTTCCGTGGACTCGAACTCACGGCGACATGGGCCCACTCCTCCTGCTGCCTTTCGACTTCCGATAAGTTTTGAGGTATGACTGGGTTCCATTTCCTGTTGGAAACCGTGGCTCTCCAGAATGCAGATGGGGGTCTACTGTACTTATCACTGTGCTATCTCTAACTCACCCTACATCGGTAAATAACAGGAGGCATTCGCATTCTAAATGCGATCCTCATTGGAAACTAGGAGCATAGCCAATTCCAAATGAAGACAGGATTGAGTGCCTGAGTGGGTGAGTGTTTACAACATGCAAAAGAATGACGCACAGTCCCATTTCTAAAGAATTGAGACTATTAATGTTGTTTTTACCTAGAATCATATTTTTCGCAATGGTAAACACTCACATGACTACAAACGGGAGGCACTGTGACAGCTGCTGGCAGCCCGTATGGGTTGTTAGGGATGCGTGCTCGTGGGACGATGACAGCTTGCCTTCCATCTAACAATTGCCCTCCAGTCGCTAATACCATACTTCTTGATATCAACGAGTTCAGATTGGCTTCATGCACTTCCGATATGCCCTTGGACGGCCTTAGTATGATACCAGTGTGAAACTCGTCCAAAGAGACTCTTGTAGCCATATCGCACCTCGCCATGCAGAACAGGAGTTTTTGCACAGGTTTTTATCCGCTACACCTGGCTTTTTAGTCACTTCCACTGCTCAGCAGTCCTGCTGCCAATTTCATCGAACACTAAAGTATCGGGTTTGCCCAATCCACTTTCGATTCTCACAATTGTGTCACAGGCCTTTTCTACGAACTGCTAACAATCAAAGAAATGGAACTGAAGCTGAATGTTCAATAAATAGGTGCTGAAATCCTTTCCAATTACCTGTACTTGTTGTCTTCTCCATCATGGGGATCGTATACACGAATACACTCCTTGTGTGTGGCTTCGAGTTTTGGCATAGCCTTAAATACGTGGTGTAACTATCACTGGGAGACCAATGAAATTTTGAAATTTTTGCAAGTCAGGAGATCTGAGTCCAGTAGAATGGCGCCGACAAAGATTTTCGGACCTTGACAGTAGTAAATTGGAACGGTTGCGTACATTAGCCATCACCTTAAATTTGCCCCATGTCCGGAAGTAATTCGTAGGACACCCACCGCTTCAATCGCTGTAATCCCTCCTTCAGCTCGCATTTCGTCCGTGGAGAAGTTGCAGTGGCAGCCGGAGCCGTTCCAGTCTCCTCTGGTCACCTATGTAATGCTTTTCAAGTGAAGAAGAATACTGAGATGGTGTTCATACTTCGCGATTCAAAAATTACGCGGCGATGACTGACGATGCTCCACCTCTAATCGTTGGACAACTACAACTTCTAGCTTAATCTTAATCAGAAGAAAAAAATTTTCGATGTTCGCGGCGTTCGAGCAACTAGCGTTGGAGCGCGGCCACTAAAAGCCGCGCAACAGGATAGGTGGAGTCAAAACGAGACTGAGAGATAAGCTAAAGCTAGCATAAGGGATAATAATTACTTCAACGGAAACGCTATGAATTTTTCATGCAAGAAGCACAAAAAAAATACCAACCGCAGGTTTAGGATGGAACGTCACGCTAACTCCAAACTGTTCAGCTACCCGATGCAGAAGGTACCTAGCCATCCATAGCTGATCGCCCATGTCGATACCTTTGCACTGTCCCAGTTGGAATTCCCATTGACCAGGAGTCACTTCTGGAAGTGAACTATTAAAAATTTGTCACACTGGATGATCAATCTGTCACAATGGATGATCAAATCATCAGAACGAAAGCCTTTCCATGAAAGCCGGTTACAAGATCTACTCTGCCGCGCCACGCAACAAAGCGTTTTCTCACATTTACTGCGGTGAACCTTATCCCTGCAAGCGAGATGGCGCACGAGGGGATGGGAGGGCGGGACACTGGAACCGCAGTCAGGGCGGCCTTTTCCCCTAATCGATGCCACCCTGTGCCGGCAACAATTGTTGGAAATGTTATCCTGACTGCGTTTTAATCCACGCGCCCCTTACACACCCTCTCGTTTGCAGTGACGGAGACTACACAGCCTTGCTCGCTGTGGATGCTGGTCCGTCACGCAGGCAGAGCTTGAAGCCAGCCCGCTTAACACCAGTTGTGAAACAGGCAAGAGACAATTGTTGGTGGGATACAAGTTGGCGCGCGACACACCCAACCGCCTGACACGCCCCAGCATCCATAGCGAATAGAATTGTACAATTCTCTGGTGCACGACGCCGCTAGTGATATCAACGCAACATAGACCACCTGAGAAACACTCGTACCAAACACCCCCCCCCCTTTTTTTTTCCTCCACTATGCATTTGGGACTTGAGAATGCGTATGGACGAAGAAGGGGAACCGCCGTGTCAAAAAGGAGTAATGTATCAACGAGAAAGGATACAGTGGTTCTCAATCTCCGCCCATACGACCAGCGTGGAGTGTGCCTGAAATCATATTTTATTGGCGTTATAGTAAATTACTGGGCGCAGTTCGGTTTGATGGGCTGCCTATTGCTTTTGTAGAGACCTGTCAATTTCTGTGGAGGTATGCAATAATAGGAGTTCCGCCAACATTTGACAAGTCTAGGGGTCCCACAGAGCTACATGCAATTTCAAAAGGAACTAGTAAAAGAAGCTAATGATCCCACAGAGCTACATGCAATTCAAAAGGAACTAGTAAAAGAAGCTAA